CCACAGACAGACCAATATGCGCTAATTCCATAGTATTTTCTAGAAGATTAAATATTTCAACAACAAAAATAGCAGATTAAAACGTTCTCCTTCCAAAACACCATTTTTTTGCAGGTGTCATAGAAGGGCCATTGCAAAAACATAGCCTCTTTTGGAATAAAAAAGGGTATTACTGTAACTGTGTGGGAAATTATGAATAATGTATGGAATGACATTATTGCTAATTAATACAGGGGGTCTTCACTTTACGATAACCTCGACCTGCAACGTTTCGTTATTATGTCGCCACACTCCCTGCTTATAAATGTTTTAAGAAAGTCTTGTTCCCTTATTTTTTTTTTTTAAATTAACTTTTTGCCCTTCAGAATAGCTCACTAGCAAAAGTCTAAAAGTTTCTGATGGCATTGCTTGTCAGACCCAATTAGAAGAAAATGAGAAAACAATAGCACACAGAATTCAACAGCATACTTTCCATGTGGTATTCATTGCTTTTAAATAGAATGGATTCCATTTCCTACATATTAGTTACATCACTGCTAGGAACCGAACCCCAACGTACGTAAGTAGAGCACCCCTGTATGCTATTTTACAACACTGACAGCAGCTTGAAATATCAAACAACTAACATCCCAGGCTCATTGTAAAACGTGTCAACATATCTAGCTTCCTTTTGGCCAACCCTCAGCTAATTATGTGCTAACTTTATGTTGCTCTTTGGTACGCCCTTAGCTAATTTGCCATATTTCAGCCTAATATATCAATTAGAGATGGTCCTATACTGAATAGCTATATACTTTGCATCATTTTACAAGCTATTGGCCAAGTTTCATTAAATAACATCCTACATTTAGGTGTCACTACTAAACACTTCAGTGTTGACTGTGCGTTACAGAAGCCTTGTCAGAAAATGTCCACACATTTTTTGCACAGGTTACTGCATATTTGGCAAGGGCATGCATACATCTTTCAATTTCTGAATGTGCTACCACACACGCGTCTACAGTATCATGAACCATATCAACTAATGGGATTGCTTTGCTCTAATCTTTTGGAAGTGGTTTGTGTTATTTCTTGGGAATCCACTGGGTTACATAAGCAAGTCTGTGTCCAACTCAAGGACCTAGACTACACAGGCAGGCACCCAGAACAGAGATCAGTCATAGTGACAGTCAAACACATTCCAAAAACAGTTTGATTCAATAAAGATGGATATCTGTCCAATAAAGAGTTTAAAACAAAACAGATGAGGAAATTCTTCTTTTTTTTTAATGTGGTAAATTAAAATTTATGATGAACAGCAAATGAACCACAACCTGTCCTTTGGCAAACAAAAAGCTAAAAAAGTTGTTTCATTGCAAAAGTGCAAATAAATAAATGGATCCAACTCTACATCCATCCAAACCACCTTTTTGAGATTCCAGCATTGTCCATAAAAAATATCTCCAAAGGTTGTGAGTCATGTTATTACTACCAAGGGGAAAAAGAGACTTCTCAGGATACTGCCGATGGAATATATTTTTTGTAGTTCACATTAACGGATGCTTTTGTATTTGGTTATACATTTGATGCACCAACATGACAAATACTACCTGGAATTGGCTTAAGAACTACTGTCAATTAAACCGTATTCACACAAGGTGTAATTCCAAGTCTCCTGCAGCAGGCACAGTTTCTGGACCCTTAGTCATGTGACTTACAGATTGTATTATAGGTCACCAGTGTTACAATAAAAATAGAATTGCTTGAGACAATTTTCATTAGGAATTATATTTTTCCAAAGGTACAAATACAATAAAAGATCTCTAACCTACTGTCTCTGGCTGTACACCTGTCTCCCCATCCCCTGAGAGACGCTTCAGCACCACATTTATTACCTATTTCTTCTGGCAGCATACGCTGTCTGTCCCACATGCCCTTTGTTTATTGCACGATTGCTGTTCTCTATTGCATATAAACAAGCTGAAGTTTCATTTTTATTAGGTCAGTTTAGAGATGTACTTAAACCGCAATCTAATTCTTGCTTTCAGTTTCAACCCATCCTATTTCTCAACCAACAGCATTATTTCCAATTGTTCTATTCCTCCCTAATCAAACAATTACAATTGGGTCAGGACACTGGAGCAGAGACTGTAGGTGGGAAGGAGACTAAGTGATAAGTTAGGTAGGTTTTGCCTTAAACAAAGAAGAATTTTGGATGAGAGTATCAGAGTTTCATCCATTTACACATACCATATTTCTCTGGGTCCATGGCAAGATGCAAGTTTAAACATTCTTTAATCAAGCTAAATTTGACAGCAGGTTAATATGGACAGAAGAAAAACCATGTCACAGGAGGAGATGTTTACGTCCAAAATATTCCTTGTGTGTACTGTATGTGAGCTTTCACTCAATTCAACAGTCAAGTCCTATTCTGAACTGTCTATAACCTGGTCAGTTGGAGCTGGGATGCAGAGACCTCATAAAAAAAATCTGTTTACCAATTGCAGATCAGGCCGACTAAGGCTACTAAAAGGATTCAGCTGCTCTGGCCTCGCTTTGACACACATGGGGAAGGATGGAAGAGACTTGGAACCTTAATTTGTTCCCTTATGGCAGACTGTCTGAATATTCTACATTCTCCAGGCTTCTCTGGGGATTTTTTTATACACTACAGCTCTTCCTGAATAAAATACAGAGCTATCTGAGCTATTGTTTGTCATTTGGAGAAATTCGAAATGTGAGATCTGAGGTTTGTGCAATGACAGGTTTTGTTTGTTGTCAGTGTCTAAACAAGCATGCAAAGCATTTTACTGTTTTGGATCAGGAGAAAGTGAGACTTCACCAGAGGAAAACAGCTTTCCGTGTCTTACACAAAGGCCAACAAGTGTTGTGATGGGCTAAGCACGCCAAACATATTTTTGCACTTCTGTGTTCACTCCTACCTGCTGTTGAAATCAGAGTAGGTCAAATAAACTATATCAACCGTCCAACTGCCAAGATACAGTATGTCATTATGTTTAATGCATTAGTGCTCATAAGTACCATTAGTGTGTACATTACCAAGCTTCCAAAGCTACATTAAAGATTCAATGTTAGGGAAAACTGTTAGTAGGCAAACAATCAACATGTCCAGCTACTGTCACTCCAGCCAGTGACACGGAGGTGGAGACGGTATTTGACTGACAGCTGAACCATTCAATGGGAGTCATCTTACAACTAAGCTCCCATTAGTGGGCCATGCAATGATTTATTGTCAGGTTTTCTATAAACAGTACTGCAGAAAATTGTTGACTTCAGTGAATCTTGGCATTTCTTTATTTCTTTTATATATAAATCCGTGAAGTAGAAATCTTTATTTTTTTTACAATTAAATACTCAGAAAAAGAAGAGAAAGAACGAACAAACCATTTTACAGTCTCAACCATTTGTTTCACAAATAAAGTAAAATAAAAGTACTTTAGAAACGTTTCAACAAATAACTTCTGTAATGTACTGTCAAATAATAATTTTAATCATCAACGTGAACAGAAGGCTTCAAATTGCGGAGATTAGCACCGCCCACCGTGAACGGGAGAAAATTAAAAATGATTATGAAAAAAATACAAATTACCTGGTCTTGTTGCGGGCAGTTGCAACCCTTTTTGAATCCTTATTAAAACTTATTGCTGCTGTCTTCCTTATGTTTTTTTCTTCCTTCTTTATGGAACGAACGGAAGATTCATTAATTCCATAATGCCGACCTACAGCCGCATAGCTTTTACCTTCATTTAGCATGTCCAATAGTTTTACTTTATCACCGATAGACAGCATCTTCCGCTGCCTTTTGGTCCCTACCGCAGGTACTTTTGCCGGTCCAGAGCGTTTTGTCGACATTATGGGGTTTGATAAACTCGAAATTGCAAGAGAATTTGCACGTACGTAATGTCAATTTGGCAAGCTGTTTTACGTACGTGTACATATTAAACCGCAACGTTATTGGCGCACAGGTAGAGAAGAAGCGGAGTGACTTTTTAGCCAATCAGAATGCAGAACACAATGCACGATGCAAATCAGTTGAGTAGCGAAACCGTGAAAAGTAAACCGTGTTATAGCAAGGGATCACTGTTCTGCAACTAAGATCAGATTGGATCTGTTCTGTCTGGGAATTGTGGGTAAAATCTGGCAAAAATGAAACTCTAGTGCATCCTGGGCTTTATATATGCAATTGTAACAACAAAAACCTTTGATGGCTGTCTACACTGACCACATATCTGTAGTTTAAAAGGAAAAGAGAAAAGCTACGTCCATTCTTGGTATATGATCCATGACCTGGATCTAAAAACAAAGAATGGGGATGGGGCTTCCCGTCTGGATTTTGTTGGAGTCATGCACTGCCTTCTACTCTGCAGCTGTGAAACGTTACGCCCCGCTGACGAAAAACGTCCTCCTGTAAAAACAAGTATAGCACAACAAACCTCTTACAAGTGCCTCATCATTAAAAAAAAAACAGCCCCACAACACAGTATTCAGTGCTTGACCACCGCCGACCAACATTACGCAAGCCAACAACACACTAATGATGCATGTAAACACTCACAATCCTCGAGTGTCAGCAACATAAATGTGATTAGGGTGCAGCCTGTGTCTGCAGAACTTCTTCACAGAAGAGTCGGTGAGAAAGCCAAGCCTCCGGAGCTGATAGGAGCAGCCATCAGCCGGGGCAGGATGTGACACATTTTCGAATTCATAAAAACTTTTAAGTCAAATCCCACAGCGCGCCGTAAGGATAACTCTTTAGTGCTGATATGATATGCCGTCAATTTCATTCGTTAAACACTCAAAGAGCTGACCGCCATTCGGTCAGTCATTGAATTTAAAGATACAAAAATGCCCCACAGACTCGGTAGATGGTAGCTGTGTGGCTAACGTAAAGCTAAAGGCATCAACACAGGGAGGGAGTGTGTGAGTGAGTGTGTGACGGCCTGGACAACAATCCAAAACCTCAGCAGCTCGATTCTCCGACCAGACCTCGACACACTTACCGGCTTTCTCCTGATCGTATCCCACCACAATGAAATAGTCAGCCAATCTAGCCATTTCTGCTGCTTTTCTCGGAATATACCAACACAATTCAGCATTTTTCCTCCTTCCAAGGCACAGCCATGTTTGACAGAAGCGGCGTCAGCGCCTGCGCGAGATCCTGAGCCATCCATGGGCGTGGGCCGTGGAGTTTACAAATACAGCTTTGTGCCCCCACAGAGCAGCCTGGGAAATAACTGCTTTTAGACAAGGCTCTTTTTGGGATCTTCCACAAGGCGATACTTATCACATATTAGGGACAGTCTTGTTTTTAATAAAGGTCAAACTCAAATTAAATTTTGGGATATCTTTCAATAGCTTAAACTAACATTTAATGGTAAATAAGCTTCCATAAGAGCAGGATGCAACAGAGAAAAAAAGTCCACAGGTTAAAAAACGCTTGCATGGTCGTCATCCAGACAACCATAGCCATTTAGGAAAACATAGGTCTGCTGTCAGCTTGTTATCTTATCTGCAATCTTTACTGTTGCACCAACCATTATAGTGCCTTCCTATTACATCCTCCTAAATGAGTGTCTTCCCTCTCCCTGGTAGCTTCTAGTTCAATATATCCATTAACTCCCTCCATCTTGCTGGATGAAGCTGGATTACCCAGAGAATCAGGGATTGAACCTGTGACCCTTGCCGTAAGGCAAGAGCACCAAGAACAACCACCCGTCCACCAGGTTGTCCCTACTCAGAACCATACATCATAGCAGATCTCTCTCACACACACACACACACAGTATGAATATCATTCTTTGTCTTTGAGTGTAACACATTGACAGTCTGTTATGTAACAGGTAAATACAATTAGAAATATATGCCCAACAGACAGGGTTCACAGGCACCTGGCTGGACAGTTTCCACTTAGACTTTGAAAAAGTAAACTAACCCTTTTATAGGAGCATTAAAAGCTCCATTATGCAGATTAGAGGAGATGCGGTCACAGCATTTTTCCTCGATCTCTTCAGAGGCTATTGTTGGCTCCAGAGCACCTGCTGCCTTCACAGACAGTCAACCAAACTCCACCAAGACAGGACTGCATGTTTATTTTCATTTGTTTATGCCTTAAATATTTAAAACACACACTTAAGCCAATTGGTCCGAAACAAAACAAATGTATAATTTGTATTGCTCAACTCATAAAAATCAATGATTTTAAATGAATCCACACTGCTCTTCACATTGAAGTAAACACTCCACTGAAGTATATCCACTTTGACTTTCCCACTGTGACCAGGTCAGCCTTGTTTTCCTTTTTCCAATAGAAATACAGCACAACTGTCACTAAGAAACACCATGCAGTACTGGGTATTTCTCCCTTGGCTTTGAGCATTGTCTCACTTTTTATGTGACATCAACACCACCAGATGTTGGATAATTTTTTGTCCACGTTGAACGCAGTTCATCATATCATTTCTGCACATTTTTCAGATGCAAATTCTCCTCTTTTACCATGTCTCAACTCCATTTCTTCAGATTTGGTTCTTGGGGAACCTATAAACGTCCAGCATGAGGACATCACTGTTACTGAAACTCATTTGAGAGGACTTCAGTAATGTGACTAAGTGAACCAGGGCCATAATGGAAAACACACACTATTCAAATTGTCTTCCCTCTAATTATTTTCCACCGTTGCCTCACCACATCTCCCATCTGCAGCTTGGACTGTGGACACAAGTCACGATGGCTTCTAGAAGTTTCACCTCCGCAGCTGCTTCTATAAGAAATGCAGGTCCATCAGACAACTAATTTCAGTGTTATTGTGCTCTTCATCTTTTTTCATCACAGTGAGAAAAATCCTTCACACGAACAAGATCGTTTCAGTACAGTAGAAATACTTTTACCCAGACAAAAATGGTAAATTATTTTCTCTGCCCAATATATTTAAAACTAACAGAAGGAGGTTTCTGCCTCGGACAAATTCAATGTTGCTGTCAAAAACATTGACATTAAACTAGCTCTATTCAAGGTGATATTAATGTTGTTACTGGGAGAGACGGAGCAAATACCTGAGATTAGTAGATACGGTGCAACTTTATGAATCATTTTTTGGAAGTTTGCTTTGGCAAATTTATATGACAATTTAAAAATAGCTGGAATACATCTTGGTATTTTTTCATTGCAGTCTTAGGAAAAGGCTCTATAACGAAGCAGAAATCATGACTCAATACTTATAATACTACACTGAACATGGAGACATGAGACGTTAAATTCTGTATGACGAATAGATGGAGACAGATAGACCCAGGTCAACAAGTGACAGATGAATAATCTATCAAATATGTGGGATTAACACCCTCCTCATCCTGGCACTAACAACTTTCCCTGACAGATTTCCTGTCACTCATACCTGCTAGTTTAATTACCGAGCTTCCAGTAATCTTACTGAAGCTTGTTTATGAAAGACAAACAAAATGCCTCTATATAAGGACATGAAAAGTAACAGCAGATATTCGTCGCTGTGATTTCACAATCTCTAAATTCTGGCAAAGGCCAACCATTTGTCTGCTGGAGGTAATTATCATCATGGAGTGCAAATAAAACATTTGCTGTTTTACAGCACATGCTTTTGACATTTCCAGATTTTTTAAATTATAAAATATGGCACTGTCTGCGGAATGAGGTTGCGGAGGATATAAATAGTTTTAGATGAAACACATTTATTGGTGCCTGAACAGTTGCTGTTTATGATGAAACTCCAGCTCTGTATTTACCCCTGCACTGAAAGTGAAACAATAGGAAATAAAATGATTACATAAGCCTGCGTTTGCACCACACTTCTAGGAAGTTTCTCTTCGGTAATTTCCATATATTTCCTGTGATATAACAATATGGACTTTTCTCTATTTTTTATTGGGATAATAAAATGAAATAAAATGAAATGTGTGGAATTCTTTGAGAATTCCCCAGGTATGAAGTCATGTTGTTCCCCCACTTCCCAACTACAGAATGTAGCTTGACACAACAGCAACACGTACAACATGCTGTTTGTGTAAATGTTTGTGAATGTGAACGTGACTCTCATCACCAAGCATCCCACACTGAGTCAGATACTAGCAGGGTTGCTGTCTCCTGTCAGACCTCGTGTCTCACATGCTCCCTCACTTATACTGTATCTTTGTATAAATTCCAATCAAGACAAAGTAAAGTTATATGACCTGTAATCCTTTATAACAGCAGATCAGCTGAACTGTGTCAATTATTGTTGGTTCCAGGTTATTTTTCAAGCCCCTTTTCAGATTATTTGAAGTATTGTAAAAATCCACTTCATGTTTATCCACATGTTAAAATAAACTCCACGAGGTGAGGAGTCAAATATTTGCCTTGTACATACAAATACGTAGAGCATGTAACATTGTACACGTGGCCAAACTTGCTATAATTAATCAGTTTGCGTTTTAATGCCGTGCTCATTCAGTCTGATGTGGAAGTTCACTGTGTCAGGGAGTGTCCTGTGGAAACATTGCTCAAATTTTACCTGATACAATTAGGCAGTGGGACAAAAAGGAACGTTAACAAAGAAATATTATTGACCTTTAACTTCAAATAGAACACAATGGATGTCTAAAGAAAAGGGATTACAGAAAGACTTCAGTTGACATTAATGTACTACACTCACACAAAGTTAATCAAGGTGAGTTATAAGTCTGACGAAATTTGATTTGTTGCCATAAAAACACACACCCTGTAACTACAAGGACAGTCTCAGGAGACAAACAAATTCATTATGTGTGGATTTTATTTATCACTGTCTCAAGGGAGGGGGCAAAAAATGTTGAATAAATCTATTATCTAAACATGTAAAGTTCTATTTTTATCCTGAGGAATTTTTTTTTTTTTTTTTTATCTGTGATAGACTGTACCTCACACGGAGCAACAGCAGTACAGAAGTAATGCCATGGATCGTGTGGGGGTGGAGGGAGAGGATGAGAGACTCAGTGACCCCTCCCACCTCCTGTATAAATGCTCGCAGCCTTGTGTGGAGGAGCTAATAGCAGAGTGACACAGCTGCCTCTCAGAACCAGTGGCAATTTGAAGAAAACCCCTGGAGTATTCTTTTACAGCTGATTCAACAAGTAGAACCTTCACATTCAACAGATCTGTCATAGATATTAAGGTATGTGTGCTTTTATTTAGGAAAGTTTTTTTTTGTTTTTTGTTTTTTTAATATTTAGTTTTGCCTTGACTGCTTGTATTTTTGGGGTCAGGACTCAAGTTAGGGACAAGGACAGGTTATCTGTCCAGCGGTATTATGCAAGCCATTTACATTTGCATGTTTCATTGTCAGTGGAGGGTCTACCTTTTACAAAGGGTCTGCCAAACACCACAATTTGTCCCCTGCTGAAATAGCAACTATATTGTATGTTTGTTATGAATGTATAAATCTGATCAACTGTGCCACCCCAATCAGTTGAGGGACGTTTTTGTTTAACTGAGCCTATTTTCAGCCCCTCATTGGCAGACAGTGTCCTTCACATTATTGGCCAGAGGCCCAAAGCAGAGTTGTAGGTTTACTTTACTGAGTCAAATCTGACCTTAGCTTAACTTTTTAAATAAATGAATGATAAGTGCAAATAACTTGGCTTTTGGACTCTTGGGTAAGACAGCTCCAGTAGTTGCTCTTCAGGGAATATATTGTGTGGAGAGACTGTTGCATGAACAAGCAGACAATAGGAGTTCAATGTAGTTACATATTAATTCATATCATGTAGATCTAACTGGAAAAACAATATTAATTTTCACTCATCGTCTTTCCCCAGGAGCCAACATGAAACTGATCTTGCACTCCTTCCTCTACTGCTGCCTCCTGGCAACCGTAGCTCATTGTGTGGAACTTGAGGTGAATCCACAGGTGAAGAAAAGGTGAGTTTCTCTATTCATTCAGTGATTAAAAGTTTAATGTGATGCAAGACGTAGCACAGCAGTTTCACACCTACTGAGTTTGCCTACATACTTATGGAATTCTTCTTCTCCCCTCCCAGGTTAAGCCTATGGCTGGAGCACAGATTGAGACGAAACCTTGACAGTGTCTCAGTGGAGAAGACGGCAGACTCTGAGAACTTTGTCAGAGCAGAAGAAGTCAGGGACAACCTGCTGCCACATTCCAGGTAAAACACCCACCATGTTGTCCTGAGAAATGTTTCATCTGTGGTCAATTTGTAGACAACTGTCCAGAAAACAACCGGCTGTAATCACATGAATTAACGTCCCACTGTCTCTCCCCTGTCTTTCAGAACTGGAATCAGTGTGAGAACAAAAAGGTCCAAGAACCCAGTGAGCCCACCAAGGAGACAAGGTTGTTCACTGGGCACCTGCACTGTGCATGACCTGGCCCATCGCCTGCACCAGCTCAATAACAAGTTGAAGATTGGGAATGCCCCTCCCGACATGCTGAGTCCAAAGGGATACGGCCGCAGGCGTCGGTCTGTGCCAGAGCAGAGACCTTCACGGAGCCAGGAGCAGGACCGGCCCGAGTGGAGGATAACAGACTCACAGGTTCATAAGCTGATGGCTCTCCTCAAACGGACATGAATAGAACTTTGTCAAAAGAATGGGAGTAGCAGATCATCCTCTCTGCTCTGCTCTGAAATTCTCAAAATACCGCAGACTCCTGACTTGTTCTCTGCAGCACATTTATTTTTCAGCCAGGAGGACTTAGTCAGAGAACAGACTGTGTTACACTGAGGTTGCAGCTCAGTGATGAAGAGTGTGCAAGACTGCAGCCAGCATGCAGACACTGGATGGCACAGCATGGAGGAAACTACAGGTGCTTCTCTCTGCTTGGCAGAGGCAAAGGAAAAGTACTGATTCCTGAAGGGAACTCTTTGTCTAACGTTGTGGGACTTAACACAGTAATTCCTCAAGTTTGGGAGTCATCCTCCGTCCTCTAAGGATTACACCCATGTGGTCAAGCTGTCAGTTTTTGCCTGCACTTTTCCATTTGGACTTTAGGTCAAATGAATTATCAGGAAAAGACAAACTTTATCACTAAGCCAAACAGAAAGATAGGCTACAGGGCTGTGGTGCTCTGGGGATATGTTGAGTTTTGGACACTGTATAATGGAAAATGCCTATTATTCTGTGAGAATTGTGCCAGTCCAAGATGGATTGAAATATACTTGAAATTGTTTTGTTTTTTTTGTACAAAAACATGTGCAATCTATTTTTTGTGTTTATTGCAGATATTTGTATATATGAATTTACTTTATTTAAATATTATATAGAGGTTACATTGAAGTACTTATGCAGATAGAACTATTTTTGTACAGGAAGAAATATATATGGGCATTGTAGCTATGTGTTATTATTCTGTGGTGATAGGAAAACAGTTTTTATAGCTATATTATATATTTGTAAATGTGCTCTATTTTATTTGTGTCAAAGCAATAACATTGTCATCCAATAAACATTTTGCATACAAAATGGAAATACTTCGTCCAGACTCTTGCTTCTGCTTCTTGCAAACTCAAAGTGACGTTCTATTGTCTGGAGTGCAATGTTATACAAACACACAGCACCTGGTCTCTGTTAAGTGATTATGGGCTCTCATTAGAGCCTCCCCTGCTCTCACTGCATTCCCCTGGTTATAATGTTGCCCTTCCCCTCAAAAAAGAGCAGACAGGGT